TACCCAGAAGACCCGGTATTCCTCCATCTTGTGACTGTGTAATTCCCTCTCTTGGATATCAGCATGTCAAGGACACTGTTCAGGAACTAGTTGATGCTCTTTGTCCAGATTTTGAGAAAAAGTAAGAATTTGGAGGAAAAAATTACATTTTTGAGATTTAGGAAAAGGTCAGAATTTTTAGAAAAAGTCAATTTTTTTAAGAAAAAGTCAGATTTTGGAGATTTTTAGAAAAAGTCCAATATTTTTAAGAAAAAGTCAGAATTTTGAGAAAAAGTCAGAACTTTGAGATTTTTTGAAAAAAGCCAAAAAAAATGAGAAAAAATCAGTATTTTGTACGTGACAGGATGTATGATTACCCAGAAGACCCGGTATTCCTCCATCTGGTGACTGTGTAACTCCCTCTCTTGTATATCAGCATGTGAAGGACACATTGAGCGGATCATAAATACATGGATCCTGATATTGAAGCTCAAGCCGGTGACGAGTGATATTTTTCCTAACAATCGTGTACAGTATGTGAATATAAGGAGAATGACGCGTGCAGTTACATACTAATCACAGCGTCTCCAACTCTCACTCATCAACGCTGCATTACTACTATTATTGTGTGTCAACAAACATTAGAATAATTGTATAATAAAATATCATAATGAGATGCGCTATGGCTACGTCATCAGATGGCGAAAGAAGATGACGAAGCAGGACCCGCCCCCGTTGACGTCAGCCAATAGGAAGAAGACTAAATACGAGAGTGGGAACATATAAATAAGATGTTGAATGGAGAAACGTTCTCTTTTCATTCAGGCAACTGGTGAACAGCTAACTGCTTATGTGGACTGTGGATCAGTGAATTGAATGAGAGGAACCACAGCTGTGCTCCCTTGTAATCGTATCATTGTATTAATAAACGCAGTTAACTTGACGAGAAGCTTCCTGGATTCCTTTCAGCTACTCCTGCCTTAGATCGTAGAAAAACCCAACTCACCCGTATCCTGCTCGTTATCCTCCGTGATGAGAGGGGATCCATCGTCAGCGTTGATATTCAAAGAGTATCCAGCCTCACTGATGCAGGGGAAAGCAAACGCCAAAAGATAAACCAGAAGAGGCAGCGTCCGGGCGGAAACGAGAACAAAACGTGCAAATACAAGAGGCTCCGAGAGGTTTAGATACTCCCGATTGTCACAGGAATTGATCAAGGTGACGACCAGGTTTGGGATGGAGAGAAGGACCAGCAGGAGCAGCAGTGGAGGTCCTCTGGTTCTCCTGAAAGAGGTCCTCTGGAGCACCATCAGGGCACTGAAGTGCACCAGCCAGGCCAGGATGGAGCAGCCGTCAGAGAGGAGGTCCAAGAGGAGGAGGTCCCGCTGCAGGAGGACCACCAGGAGCAGATCTGAAGAGAAGAGAAGCGCCACCAGAAGAGCAGAGAAACACCGTAGGGTCCAGCTGCAGGGAGCCGGCGTCTGAGGGGGGGCGTGTCTACAAAACAGGAACATAAATACTGAAATATATAACAAATAAATATCATATTTTTCCATAGTGGCCATTATGTTAAACACCTGAACTCTTGAAAGAACATCCGTAACATTCATCTGTTTGCAACTTATATATATCAATATTCCAATTACTTGTACTTAGACTATTCTGCACTATAACTACACTGTAGCTATGTACACATGACAACAAACTCTCTTTCGCTACCTTTACTGTTATTATAGCTTGTAAATCGATTTTATTATATTTGTATTGGTCTCAAATTATCATATTGTGTGTATGCAGTGTATTAATGACTTCTAGCAGTAGCAGATTTGCAGATCAAGCAGCAATAATTAGACTATGCCTTTAAAAAGGTCTATAGAACAGAAACATTAATACTGAAAATACTACAGGTGCACGATGTGGAATAATAATTGTAGAGTGGCCATTATTGCAAAAAAGTAGAAGATTTTATTGGTTTTCATCTTTGTTGTATTTTAGTTTAATCTAATGTTTGTTTCGCTCTGTTTTGCTACCATTACTGTTATTAAAGCTTCTAAATCTATTTGTCTCAAAGTGCAACTATAACAAATGATTTATCTAATATATCATATTCCAATTACTTGAATATAGATTCTTCTATTTGTATTTACTTGCACTATGTTTTCTTTTTTATGTGTTGCACCGTTGGAGGAGCCTGTGACCTAAGATTTTCATTGACATAACTAAGTAAGTACATTTCGAAGCCCATACTTCTTTAATTTTAAAGAAGTTTAGTCAGTACTTCTACTTTTACCAGAGTATTTTTGAACACGAGTATCTATACTTCTACTACTAGAGTAAAGGATGTGTGTACTTTTGCCATCTCTGCAGATATTAGACGTACCTCTGCATGCTGAGGTAGCAGGCGCTGAAAATGGCCATCCCTGCATGAGGCAGCGCTCCCAAGACCAGTTGGTTGAAGCAGGGGCTGATGTTTCCATCCTGAAACACGGGGAAGGGGTTCTGCTCGTCTGTACGACACAGACCTGAGACCAGCTCCGCAGGACCAAAGAGCCCCATCCCTAAAACTATTTAACTGCTGTCATTTTAAAATATCTGGAGAGCAAAAACAATACGAGTTAACTGTAAGGGGGAGATAGATGGATAAATAGATATATAGACAGACTGACTGACAGACAGACAGACAGACAGAAGGACAGACGGACGGACAGATAGACAGACATGGATGGATGGATGGATGAATGGATTCTAAAGCACCACATGCGTCAGGTTTGGGTACATATTTAACCCATTATACAAGATAATATCTAGAAGGAGAGAGGACTTTCTACAACTTTAAAGCATGACAGACCATTCAAACATATAGAGTAATCCGACTGAACCAAATCAAGCATTGTGGCAGGAGATTACAAACTTTTCAAGAGTAGTATACATGAACTGCTCTCCAAATGTATTATTTGCTTTTAATTAAACAGTATTGTCCCAATAGCCAAAACTGGATGTTCTACAAATACAAGAAACCATTGACATGTAACACTTTTCTAGAAAAAGCCAGGGTTACAAAGTAAGATAACACACTAAATCATACTTTACTTATATGTGTTAATAGTTTCCCATCATACATGTGACTCAGCATTGGTCTTCAACCACTTAAGTAACACAAAAACGTGTAAAAACGACAGAAAGATGCAGGTGTTTCCTGAATGAAAGATGAATCTACACATGTAAACAAATGAGGCTAGCTAGCTAACAGTTAGCTTAGCATACAGATTATCACCCTGTTTAAGCAACACTGTAATGCTAACACACACAATATTTACATGAAACACTAACGAATCTAACCACTACTTAATATAACTTAAACACACTATCAATGCACTGTAATTAAGATAAGAAACCCTGCATATTACCGGCTGTCATCTTGCTAACAGGAAACACTTCTGTCCCTTCTGATGACGCACTCTATGGGATTTTCAAAATAGAAGTTTTTTGTTTGCAAATGTAAGCAGCATCAGTACTTGTTATGTTATGTATTTATGTGCTTCAAAAGTATAAACACCATGTTCTTAAAATTGCTTTATCATTAGTTAAAGTCCAGCAGTGAAAATCCATTGAAGAAAGTGCACAAACCAAAACCGAAAATGCACTAATTCCTAACTAAACTGTGCAATATCAATATGTAAAATTATGTGACTTCAGCAGTTCAGTGTGTGTACTTCTGTCAAAAAATGCATGTGCTGTTCATTTAATACATGTATTTTTCTTTGCTTTTTCTACTGATGATTCCCTATCCTATTTGGTGTTGTGAGACCAATAGATTATCTTATTTTTAGTTAACGTACATGGGTATTATCTTCATAGAAGCCTATACTTAAAGTATCAAAAGTAAAAGTATGCATTACGCTCAATGGTTGTAATATTATAGAATATAGATATTGTAGTTGTACTACTTTTAAGATAATTTAAGATACTTTGTGTAATACTCAGTAGATGAGTTATATAGCACTGCATTCTTTCATACAAAGGGTTTTTTGTTTAAAGGTCACCTATTGTGCAAAATCCACATTTTCACGTCTTTTCGACATCAACATGTGTCCCCTCTTCTTCATGTCTCTTCTACATCAACATGTGTCCCCTCTTCTTCATGTCTCTTCTACATCAACATGCGTCCCCTCTTCTCCATGTCTCTTCTACATCAACATGTGTCCCCTCTTCTTCACGTCTCTTCTACATCAACATGTGTCCCCCCTGTGTAAAGAGATTCTGAAAGTGTCAGGAACAAAGATTCTCTCTCTTTTTGTCCTGATCCATTTATATAAAAACCTGTCTGAG